CCCCAAAACCCCAAAACCCCAAAACCCCAAAACCCCAAAACCCCACAAGATAAATAATAAATTGGCACTAAGTTTGGAAATATTAAATATGATAAAGTTCAATTGCCTAGGTGAATCCCAAGATGATCTGGAATGCTGTGTACTTCAAATTGATCACTCAATCAATGAAAAACCTATCAGAATCTTATTCGGGTCAATATTGAAGCTAAGTAAGACTGTCTCAGTAATTTGATAGGTAGCACTCTGAATTATCTTCCTGACCATTTTAATATCCAGTCAGATGGCGAGTTGTATCCTTGGTAAAAATAAAATATAGTTCAAACAAAAGAAGAAGAGTACCCTACCCAGAACCAATTGTGATGAAAGGATGTGAAGACGATGTCTATATTCAAAAACCAGAACATGTAGATGGTGTAGAATATATTGAAGAGGAGGAAGATAAATATGAACAAGAAGTTCCCTTTGGAAGATATGGAGAGGCTGACTTAAAATATTTAGAAAAAGGGCAAGATTATGTGACAGTCCAAGGTAAAAGCTACATCAAAAGTCATGTAAAATTTGATCAAAGATCAATTAATATCACTGATATCAAAGATATTGATATTGTGTTTGTGAGCAATTACAATAGCGTGTATGCTCTCCCTTTCATATGTTCACATCCAGAATTTACTGGGAAAGTTCTGATTACAGAACCTCTTCATCAAATTGGAAAATTCTTATGCACAGAACTCTATGAAATGTGTTCTCAAAATCAAAATCTTAACCAAGAAAGGAGCAAAAATTTAGGATCTTTCGTCAAAGAAAACATTTCAAAGAAAGAATATTTAAAAGAAAGTGAACTCAACGACTTTTTCGAGGGTCTTAAGATTGAACTATGGGAGAATATTTACTCTTTAGAAGATATTGACAAAACTTTTGATGAGGTGTGCTCGGTTTTACATTTCAATCAAGAATTTGAATCAGTTAACCCTCTTAAAATTATTCCAGTGTCAAGTGGACATCACTTAGGATCGTGCAATTGGGTGATTTACCATAAAATATTCAATCAAAAAATTGGAATCATGCAGCAATCATGTGTGGATAACAGCAATAGATATCCTTTGAAAATGAACATTAGTTCTCTGCAAAACTGAGATGTACTTTTCACTGGGAATGTAGTGAACGAGCACTATCTTCCTTCAATTAATGGAGATGATACTTATTCGTATACTGAAGCATTACGTCAACTAAACGACAGCATTAACGAGGCTAGGTATAATTTATCATAACTTTTAGCTTCATGAGTAGCAAAGTACTGATCCCAATGAGCCCATTTCTCTTTTTAGAATTATTAGACCTTCTCAATCAGTCTATTTCTCCGAATATTCTGGTGAGAATATTTTCAGGATCAGCTGAAGCTATAAAAGCCTTTTCAAATTTAAATCTTGATTATCTCAATCAAAGGCTTCAAGAGAAAATTCTTGATAGCAATGATCCATTTGAGTTTGATAAAATGAAACAAAATTCTAAATTTGAAATATTTACTGATTTTGTTAGCTATCAAAAAGCAAAGAAGATTAACGAAGATAGTCCTGAGCTTATCCTTGCAACTCATAGTAATCTTCGAATTGGAGACTCAGTCTTATGGATGTATGTTATGAATAAAAATCTTAAAAATGAGAGTGGACAATACAGAGTAATTTTGACTGATCCTCAATACCAGACTGATGAGGTAACCAGTTTATATGAAGGCAATCAAACTATTGATAGTATTGGAGTTTGTAATAATGAAGTAACATACAGCATTTATCCTATAGATTCCTATTAAGAGAATACCTGTTGACCCTAGTCCTACTTTTAAGCAAATGAATAAACTCCTTAGAATATTAAGACCAAAAGTGCTAGTTTGTCCAAAGAGATACATAAAGTCAGGATCATCAAGAGGAAGCAATTGAAGTGAACTCTCAAGCTTAGGAGAAGAATACAAAGGAGAAGAGGAAGATTCACAAAAGTACACTCTTTTTTACCTTTAGCACCTCCTCTATTGATCTTCTCAAAGGATGTTTGTTTAAAATGTATAAAGAAGGCGAATCTCATACAATCGATTTGGTAGAAGAAAGCCATCTACTATACGAAGGCTTTATAAAAGACAAATAAAATCGAAGATGTTCTTGAGGTAATCAGTAATTAGCATTTTAGGAAGCAAAAATGATTCAAGATAATAATCAGTCCATATTGAGAAGTACTGTAAGAGTGAGTATGGTTGACAACGAGATTGACATTACCAAAATTGATCCAAACCCATCCTTAGGAAACATCATTAGAAAATCGAATGGGATAAAAATTTGGAACCATGTCGATATTCCTTCTGAAGAAGATGTCATTATGAAATACAACCCTATTGAGGATCAAAGAAAAACAGAAATGGAAAAATTAATATCAGTTCTTAATGATAGGAAGGAAACATGTAAGCAGTTATAGACTCAAAATTATTAGATATTTATAAATTAAAGGATCAAGGGTGAACTGTAATTGAAAAAGAAAATGAGCATGAAAACAGTCAGCAAATAGGTAATCAAAAGTAATTAAAACTTAGGCTTCGATCTTCAAATAACTTCAGAAAACAAAGGTAAAATATGATAACCACTAACATTTAGATAAATCAGTTACTCTCAAAGGAAAAATATCTAAAGATATTGAATCAGAAATACCAGATGATGAAGACCAAATCTTCCAAAAATACCTTGATATTAGCTTAGGTAAAGTTTTAGACTATTTCTAGATGGAGACAGTGCAAATTTATTGAAGAAAGCATCAAAAATAATGATTGAAGTCTTTCATTTAACATAGTTGGGTCGATTTATATTATATTTCCAAAGAGGTGTGCAGCTTTGGGGTTTTGGGGTTTTGGGGTTTTGGGGTTTTGGGG